GCACTTTGGCCATAGCTTGAGTTCCAAGTTGAACTGAATTTTCAAGGTCCTAAACAGATCTCTATTATTAAATACATGAATAGTAGCGCCGGTATCGACTCACCATCCATCATCTTTATTGAACACGTTTACTTTAGCTATCATTGACACAAAATGTTCATCAATGGATATATTCGCTTGGTTTCTAGGCTTTTTAGGCCCCTCTTGGTGTTGGCATTCTCTTGAATAGTATCCTGGTTTTCCACATACAAAACAGGAACCTCGTCTTTTATTTTTGTTAGCATTAGACTTCTGATCCTTAGAATTATCATTCTGGACCTTAGGAAAGAAATGCTTCTCGTTATTTTGAGCATTTGATTTATGTTCAACAAGGTTTGCCATGGTTTGTTTTTCCATATTTTCATCTTTCTTTTCCCGAAGTCCATTCTCTTCTTCAATTAGAAGAGGCCTCTAAAATCAAACTAAATCAAGGTCAACTTTCTTGTGCTTCATTTTCTTTTGATACTCTTTCCAAGATGGGGGCAGCGTGTGAATTATAATGCCTACTTAAAAAGACTCATCTAACTTAATACACAATCTTTAAGTTCATTGACCACACGTTGCAATTCATATACTTGAGAAAGAATTGGCTTGTTTTCAATGAATTTGACGTCTAGAAAATTAGAAATGAAAAAACCTTCTGTTACCGGACTTTTCTGTAAGATATTTGGTTTCAAGAAGCTTCCATAACTCTCTCACCGTCGCAACTAATGCATACATATTGCATATAGGATCTGCCAATGCATTGAGAATGTGGCATTTGCAGATGTAGTCATTTTCCATCCACCTTTTCTAAGATTGAGTTTGCTCCTTGGTGGAATCTTCAATTGGTGGTGGCAGTTTTGGCATAGATTCAGTGACTATGTAAGCCACCTTGAGAGTAGTCAATAAAAAGATAACATTTCGTTGTTGTCTTTTGAAATTCATTCCGTTAAAAGAGCTCTAGCCTTGTGAAATCACGGCTATGGCAGTCTCCATGTTTTCACCCATGAAATATCGTCCAAAAACAACAAGGAATTCATCCTTTTTATTTGCCCCTATTTCACCCACCGATTTCTACCATCTTGATAGTCCAATAGTTCAACAAAGGGAGTGGTTGGCTAAAGATAGCTTGAAGGAGAGGGAACGATCGAGGTGATAGCAATTGCTGTATCAATCACAGGTTGGGTGCAAAAGAGAGGAAAGAGGAGGGGGGGGGGGGGATTGAGAGAGAGGAATTCTTGCGGTAGGCATCATGGGAGCGCAGAGATGGGATCAATGACTTGTGGGGCAAGATTGAACTAGGCGGAAATTGGGGATCTAAGCTAGACAGCTTTAAACTCCAGTTTGAATTTAACTTTGAATTCAAATTTGAGGCAGACTTCGAGGGTCAAAGTTTCCAATATTTGTTTGCTAACATGTATCTATTTAACTTCAAAGTATTCGCTATTACTGATTGACAGAACTCCATTGATTTTCGACATTGTCGATCCTTTTGCCAAGTCTTTGGGACCCCTCTATAGGGGTGGCAATGGGGCATCTTTGGCCCTGGTCTGGATAGGGCCGGGCCTCGGCTGGCTCTATGGGGACTAAGGCATGGCTAGGGCCAAGCATGACCCAGCCTGTTGCCATCCCTAGCTCTCTAATCTACAAAGTTGAAGTCTTTCTTATTGCAATCTACCATCCTTCATGGTCGTGCTTTCACTTTCGCCCTACTCCAGAGGTCAATGAAAATTGTTGTTTTCCCCTCATGTGTCCCCGATGACAAACCAGGTTGTCGTGCTCTAACTCCATTTGGATCAAGAACCAAGAATGACTAGCACATGTATTGATGAGTTTAGGTACGCAAGGGAATGTGGTTTCTATCAGGATCAGGAGAGAACCCAAAGGTAGAGAACCCAAAGGTAGAGAACCCAAAGAACTCCATTCTACCATGAGGAAACCTCCAAAGATGCTGCCTATTGTTTGAATATATCATAGTACCATGCATGTAGAAGTGTCCCCTGGTTTTGATCCCTCTTTTTTACTTTTCCAGGGCTCCTAAACAAGGTGACCACGGTTTTAATCTTATAAAGTCTGCCTTTGGAAGAAGGCTCAGTGGTTTTAAGTGCCTGTTGTTCGTCAACCTGTGATGTGAAAGAGAACAGGATGCCATCAGCATCCAAGAGTCTATGGAAGATTTGTTGCTAGATCCACAACTTTCTGGCCCATCCCATGATGCCTTTGATCTCATGTCTTGGTGTCAGTAACCATAAAGGGAGGTTTGCAGCAGAGATATCATTTCAGGGCTTATATCTTCTCCAACAAAGATGATGGGTAATTGAGGTTTTATGGCAGGAGGGGAGTTTGTTTTTGTAGGTTTGGATGTGACCAGAAGATTCGGATGGTGGTCTAGGGTTATTGGTTTTTGGCTTTCTTTCGGCCAAAGATTTTGTTTTTGGCTTTTGGTAAAGGGAAATCAAACACGTATTTTTAAAGGAGGTCAGGGCAGGGTTTTTGGGCAGCAAGAAGGTTTTAAGGAAGAGTTTCAGGAAAATTGAGAATCCATGACAGATAGGTTTAGGCTGAGCTTGATGATGCTGCTTTGGAGGCACAGAGAGTTTTCTTTCTGTAGGTTTGCTGGATTGATATGAAATACATTGGGACTAGAACGAGTATAGGTCTTGGAGAGGTGGAAATGGAGAATTTTCGCCCAGAGTTTCAGGCAGACCTGGGGATTTATGTCGAAGGACACTTATCTTGGCAATTGAGAACTGCTTGGAGAGAGGGGTTTGTGAGTGCTGCACTGGGAGGTGGATACTTCTCGCACCCGTAAGTTTGAATGTCTGTTTTGGGTAAAATTGGGAATGAAAATTATAATGTTTGGCAGGGATGGGATGGGTTACTGTGAACCAGCCATTGTATTTCTTTTAGTTTAGGAAGAGATTATGTTCAAATAAGCAGATATTACATGGTTACAGGAATCTATCCATCACATATATACTTTACTTCAAGGTACACCATGGCATAACCGTCGAGACGAAGTAGGGACCTAAAAGATTGAATCGAATGATACATAGACAAGTAAATCCCTTATGAATTCCAAAGTATTCTTTTAATTTAAGAGAATTAATCATTCAAAGGGAAGGAGAATACTCAATAATTCCACTTTGTTATAATTGAATGAGTCATTGAGGAGAGATTCGAATCAAAAGTCATGATAACTGATTACTTCTTACTTGGTATCCACTATCCAGAATATACTATACGATTAAAGTAAAGTCAAAGTCAAAGCCAAAGTAGGAGAGTCGAGAAAAAGAAGAGTGAATCAAAATAATCCCTTCTTAACTTGAGTTTCATTTCTGTTAGGGGGTAATACGAATGTTCTACCACGTTCCATCAACACACTAAAAGGGATATACGATCTATCCGGTGTGGAAGTAGGCCAACATTTTTCTATTGGCAAATTGGGGGTTTCCAAGTCCATGCCCAAGTACTTACCACTTCTTGGGTCGTAATTGTTATCTTATTAGGTTCAGCCACTATAGTTGTTCGGAATCCACAAACCATTCCGACCGACAGTAAGAATTTCTTCGAATATGAGCTTGAATTCATTCGAGACTTGACCAAAACTCAAAACTCAGTTTGGAGAAGAAGAATATGGTCCCTGGGTTCCCTATATAAACCTCTTAAAGGATTAGAAGGCCTGGTAAACTGCGACGCGCGATTTGATTGAAATTACAATTCTACAGGTTCAAAATGAAAAACTGTCATCCCGTTCAATCCAATTGGGATGCCTCCAGCTCTGACATGTCTCTTAGGAAAAGTAACATGAAGCTCATAATTCTGGGTCTATTCAATACTTCTAAATGAAAGAGGAATTGATCCATGGTCGATTCTGTAGTGGATCAATCAATAGGGAATTCTAGTTGTACCTCGTAAAAAAAGCGTCTTTATCTCCTTCTACGACATGTTGTCCTCGCCATGTAGTGGAGGGCATGATGATCAAGAGGATGACTGAATGGCTTACTGTGTTGCTATCTTCTCTCTCTCTCAAAGAGAAAATGGTCATCAATTGCCCTAAAGAATCCATAAATTGCATCTTTAAACATTTAGATGTACACTGGGTGGTTGGGGAGAGTCTTAGTTGGAGTGATTCTTACTGTAGATGAAAACAAGCATGCAGTATATACGGTCAATCATGATAAAACTTCAGTCCTGCAAGCACCACTCCAAAAGCCGCTAGTCTCAATTCATAGCACAGAGATGCTCGTTGAACACCATACAAGAGAAAGAAAAGAATTCACTGGTTCAATACCATTTGAAAATAAAAACTGTTCAATACCATTTGAAAATAAATACTGCCGTTGTGATATTGCATCATTATTAGTAAAAAAGAACAAAAAAACTATTCCTACCATAAAGGAGGGATGGAAAGAAAAAATAAATATTTAGCTCGCAAGCCCAATGCTAGATTTTTATGGTAGCTCTACAACTGATACTTGAGAGATAGTGCCAGACAAGCATGTGATATATGCTGTCATCTTGAAAAATGGGGACCAAGGGTTGGAGTTAATTCAAAAAGATTACACTCCAACGAATATTGTTCGCTACCCCTTAGTTTTTAAGCCCATGTCTATTATGACAGCATTTTATTCGTCTCTTCAAATTATACTAATTTTTCAGAACAATCTGTCATACTTCTTCCATGAAGCGGTGTTTCATGTTGTTGATTGTACAATGCTCTATTTATTTTAAAGGAAAACTCAATAAATGCCATGTATACAGCAAGAAGCACATATACAGCAAGAAGTTTTGGTAACTAAATTGCCACATTCTTATAATTGTTTGCTCTCCGAACTCCTGAACAGAATGCACTGTACAGACCATTATACCATGAGACATATGGCTACATTTAATTGCCACAAAATTGTTGACGAGAAAAGTATGAGGCTACAGGCATGAATGCATAAAGAGCATTAAATATACTAATAAAAGTTTACCTCTCCACCCATCTGAGAATAATCAACCAAGGCTTGGCTATCATTGTTAATAAGAGTGCATCCAATTTTCTCTTCACCTAAACATGCACCAAAATGAATAGAATAATCATCATCATCTGAGCCTTCGCCCAACTAGTTGGGATCGGCCACCAAAATGAATAGAATAAGACTTTTAAGCAAATTATTTATTATTAACTCCAACATGCCAAGATTCCACAATGATATCCATCTCATTTTATTCCCTTCAACACTTCTATTTAACAAACAGATATCATGTTAAGCTCACCACCTAGGAATTTAATTGAGCTCGCAGGATCAAAGATGCACTGGCCCTCCAACTTTTTATGCACAGTAACTGGTAGGCAGGCATCAGATGAGGATGGAGCAAACTTTGTAGCATCAGCTGGGTAAGAATCCTGAAAGCTCTCATTCGTGAAATATTGTAAAGGTCTAACACCATTTGGAACAGTAATGGAAAAAGATTGGATTGAATTCTTTTCAAAATTATCCATATTGACAAATCTAAGTTCAGCGTGGATATTGTTTGAAGCATGAGAAGATCCATTTGATGATGATTTTGCACTCATTATTGAGCAACAACGTTTCTCCCACTGCATACATGAAATATTAAAAATCAATATCGGTAATAAAAGTAGTTGAAAAAATCCGATACATAAAAGTTCAATGCGAACAATTATTTAGAGAATAAAATATAAAAAAACTAGATGATTATAGGGCATCTTAAAGAAATCAAAGACTATATGTTTGAACAATAATATCTTACAAACAACGAAGACCATTGTTGCAACTAGAGTAAAAGATGCATGAGCAGAGTGTATGTAAACAAAAAAATTTCAGCAACCATACCGGCGTGCCTACTTACAAGTGACACTTACAATACAAAGATGGTCAAAATAAAGCAAACTCAAAGATCCTCACTTGCTGCAATTGAATGTATTTCTTTTATTCATAAAAATCTGAAAAATAAAATGGAAACAAATCAAGGACAATGGGAAGCCTTTACGAGAAGAAGATTCCTCAGATCACCTCCGAAGGACTTAAGCACACCCGAGAAGGGGGTAGCCAAAGAGAAAGAGGCAACCCGGAAAGCCTTCTCTAGGTGCTTCAGATGCGAAGGCGGCCATCGAGTGAGGGACTGCCCACAAAAGCAGGCCCTCAACAAGGTAAACCTCGTATGGGAGGACGAGAATAACCTAGTGCAGCTGAGTTCACTAAACTTGGTGAACGCGATGCAGCTGAAATCAACCAAGGCACGTGCTTTGCAGAAAGCTAGCAGAAAGCTAGCCCGTGCACAGATTCAGAGGAGTCAACTGATGACTCAAAGGAAGTCATCAAGAGAGCCCCATCCATGGTGAAACTGGGTCTAAAGGATACATCTTGTGACTCATCCATTCGGTGGGAAGTGCCCTCTGATTCATCGGAGGGTACAGCATCTTCAGCTAGCAAAAGATGTGATCAGCCTTGCCCTATAAAGACGAAGTTCGGCAATCGGCATGATTATCATTGGCATTGATCGATCTGCGAGCAGACTGGAGGGAAGTTTTCCTCTTGATGTCGCAAGAGGCAACATGGGTCGTGGTGGCAGCATCGGAACTAGCCACGAACCCTTGCACTTGGGGGCAACGAAGGACCTGACCCGATGAAAAAAAAAAACTACGTCTTGGCGGCAACAGTGGACCTAGCCAAGAGAGCTAACTACTTGGTGGCAGCAGCGGACCTGGCTAGATAGGTGACCTGACGACTTGGTGGCAGCAGTGGACCTGGCGAACTGGGCCGAGCAATGGCTTGGTTGAGCGTCCAAAGGGAGCTACCTTGAGTTGTGGTTTTATGGGGACCCAATGAGAGGCAAGCGTCTACAGGACGAGTTAACCTGGTGGCAACAGGCAATACTGGCCAAGTGAACGAGCAGAGGACTTGGAGGCAGCAAAGGACCTGACTAAGTGGGCTAAGCAAAGGCTTGGTCGAGTGAGTATGGGCCCTGCTCTGAGCTAAGGTTTTATGGGGACCCAGCAAAGGGTGAGCGTCCAATGAGTATGTTGGAGTTTAGGTTGAGGAGGATTGTCAGGCCCCTTTTCCCTAAGCACCGCGTTGGTGCAGGCAACCAGGTGCACAAGATCCGTGCAGCCTAGTGTGTGCGGTAAAAGGCGGCCTGTGGTTGGACAGGCAGCCTTGTGTGCAAGGATGCAAGGCAGACTGGCTAACTGCGTGGTGCATGCCAAGCTTAGGCAACCTATGCATGAGGATAAAGGCAACCTAATGCAACTGCCTTGTGCAAGTGATACTGTTGTGAGTCGATGTGTGCATGGTGCAAGTCGACTAAGGCAATTGGACCCGTGTGGATCAGTCTAGTAGGGCTGCGCATGCATATGGATCAGCCTAGTAGGGCTGAGCATGCATATGGATCAGCCTGGTGGGGTTGAAGGTATGCATGGGCCAGCCTGGTGGGGCTGCATTGCCTTGATGGCCAAGGGTAGACTAACCCCTCAGTGCATCAGGCTAAGTTGTGCTACTTAAGCCTAAGGCGTGGACACACCTTTGAAGAGGGAGTTTTGATATTACTCCCATAGTTGAGGGGAATATGGGCGCCTTGGTTCATTGGCTGCCAGCAGTGAACAAGGCCCCATCTAGGTTCACAAGCACCCGTAGGAAGCTTGAAGTGGGCTCGACCTAGTAGGACTTGGTCAAGTAGACCATGTGTTAAGGCGAGACGTGCACGTATGGCTAGGCAGGTATGTGTGTGAAAGATGGTGCGCACATCAGGATGACTAGAGGGCTTAACGTGGTGAGACTTGGTCAGGTGGACCATGTACAAGGCGAGCTGTGCCCTGTGGCTAGGCAGGTGTGTGCCAAGTTGGTGTGATGGCCCAGCGAGACGCTAAGCGACCAAGCTGCATTGGCAAGCAACAAAAACACCCAATGACCAGGAGGACCTGGTGTAACGCTCAGCTAAGTGGGCGACCTGGCGCGTAAGACGAGGGACGTGCAGCGGCAATCTGGCACGTCAGACGCGGGGTGTGTAGGACGTGACCTGGCGCATGAGAAGCGAGAAGTGTAGTGGCAACCTGGCGTGTGAGACACGAGGTGTGCAAGGCGCAACCTGGCACGTGAGACGTGGGACATGCAGTGCACGGCTGGTGCGTGAGACACAGGACGTGCAACGCGTGAGAAGCAGGACGTTCAGAGTGCACAGGCTGGCACATGAGACGCGGGGCAAGTGCAGCACGCAGGCAGCGCATGAGACGCAAAACGGTGTCAGCCTGCAAGCTGGCTTGGCCCGTGGGGCGTGGGCAGTTACTATGTAATTGACCCACGTGTTAAGCAACCAAGTGGCCAACCCAGACTGCATGGAGGGCAGGTAGCCTCCATGCACGGCCGTGTGGGGTGCATGGTGAGCAGGCAGTAAGGCTGGACTGTTATGGAAAGTGCCATGGGAGTTTTGAAATGTATGTTTGGGCTATAAGTACCCCTTGCCTGGCCTTGGAGTGGAGGACCATGGTTGTACACATTTCAATTGTATAGTGCATACATTGGGATGAGGCCCCTTGACTATCCTTGTTAGTGTTTCCTTTGCAGTTTGATTTTCTCTAACCCCCATCTCTAAGAGTGCGTTGAGGTAGTGAAAGTTGGTCTAGCCTTAGAACGAGTGAGGACCTAGGCTAGACGCCGCACGGGTTTGACAAAAAAAAGCGGTCCCGTGGTCACGAGGTCTAGCTTAGGTCCTCACACCTATCATTATAGTCATAATTTTTACACACTCTAAAGGCCTTTAAAGGCCACATAACCCAACAATGCATCTAGATTTGCATTAGCACCAGATATTCAACTTCTACAGCACAAGGTTTTACTTAGTAAATAAATATTTCTAGTACAATGAGCATTAAGGTAAGATCATATACCCAAGATATGTTCGAGTTCAATAACATTATAATATGTTTCATTCATTCAGACGAGCGCATTCAACTTGTGAATTAAAAAAAAAATACCCTACCTTTGTGATTGTTTTTTTTTTTTTTTTGTAAATAGATAACTTAAAAAGTTCATGAACAAATGCTGTAAAAATATAACAAATGCAACACCAAATTCATAAAACACAACAAGTAGTCAGTGCAAGTACAATGGAGTTAATCAACCAAGAAACTATCAAACCCTGGTTTGGTAACCTAGCTGTCAAAGAATGTCACAAATCTTGGCATGCATAAAAAAGGAATGTCGAACATCTCATACCTTTTGTTTTCCTTTTTATTGTTTACATATAGTTGTTTATTTTTTTTAGTCTAATTGGGCATGTGATAGACCATCAAATCATGAAAAGGAATAAAATTTCCATATGGGTCACAAAGCAAAAGGTTAAATCCATCTTATAGACAACCCAGCCACTGACTAATACCAAACTTTACAACTCTAAAGCACTTGCCTAAAAGAAAAAATTTTACTCCAGCATGTAAGAGTGGCTTGCAACATCTCACTCTTAATAAACACAATCTCGCCTATTTAATTAATATTGTTTGCCAGTTCATGCACAAACTCACTCCTCTCCAATTTATGGTCGTTAAGTGTATCATTCAGGAGATCAAGAACAAATTACTCCAGGGATTCATCCACATGCTTCCACCTTCATTTTACAGGCTTATTTGGATTTTGATTGTGTGACATAACCTAACCATAGACGTCCTAGTACTGCATACTCGAACTTCCTAGTTGGGCCACACGCCCTATGCAATAAACAACCGTTTCTAAACCTATTGAAATTATTTTATCAAAAACAAAATGATTATATCAAGTTTCTTAATCTGGTAATGATGTTGAATATCAGTCCATGGCAACAAAATGATTATATCAAGTTTCTTAACCTGGTAATGATGTTGAATGTCAGTCCATGCAATGTATAGCTGCAAAACTTAATTTTTTTGACATTTGATTCGAGATTTTAAAGTTCTCATCGCAGGCAGTCACATTATACTATGATATCACAGTGCTACATGTATTTTTGCAAGCCTATCCACACCCAACCCCAGCAGACTGATATGCATTATCACTTACTTATATGTTTAGAAGGCATTCTTAGGAGTGGTTTAGTATATCAAGAGTGAGATGACTGTTCATCAGGCTTCACTAATCAAGGGAACTTCAAAATAAGCTGTATTTTTCTATTTGTTGCTCAATCTTTTCATACACATGGTGTACTTAGTATTAATACCCATAGGGTATTTCTGTAAGTTTTACCAGAAGGTATTTCTTTAAATTCACATACACAAGAGCCTTCCTCTTTCAAGATAAGGATTTACTATCAGTCAGAAATCAACTTTCATGTCATGAACCCCACTGTTATCGTAGAAAGCCCTGGATGAACCAAACCAGAAGCTACGGCATCTATCCCCTAAATCAACCATATCCATTGCTAATGGTTCCAAAGATTGGGTCATTCTAGCATAAAAGGTTGGATTGTGGACTCACACAAGGTTCAAGAAAATATTATTTTCCATAATGTAACAGCCTATAGCAATTGTAACAATCTGATGTAGGGAAATTGATAGAATAGAAAATTTTAATACGAAATCAAGCCAAACACTAGCAATAACTAGGAGAAACCCTAGGGTTTTGTACTAACACCCAAGCTAGGATTCAAAAGCCAGGAGCTTTCTTTGTTTTTTGATAGAAGTTAACTGTATTTCATTAAGAAGAGTCAGTAAATAGATTTTAAAACCTAGGGTCCCTAAGCAGTGGGACACCTCGGAATCTGTTGTAAGCCAACCCTATTCAAAAAATAAGAGTACAGCCCGCCCTAGATGATAAAAGATATACAATGATTTTACAAAAAATAGGGTTATAAGTTGCCCCTTTGTACAAAAAATAATGTGATAAAATACAAAAAAGATGTGCCCAGAAGATGTCATTTCTTTATACTTCTATATCTTCAATGTGAGCTCTGGCCCCGTCCTTTGCAAGGAGGTCAGCCAAGTCGTTTGACGTCCTCAAGGTATGCGTCCATGAGACGTCCATATCTCTACAAATGTCAGCAATCTCATCAGAAAGGGAAGCAAGATACCAAGGAGGGGAGGAGCCCCCAGATGCCCAAGAAATAATGTTTCTAGCATCCCCTTCCACAATAACATTTTGCCCCCAAGATGAATTAAAGCTTTTCAAACCCAAGAGAAGGGCCAATGCCTCAGCATGCGGAGAGTCTGGAATGCCATTCGGAGTACGTGAATAGAATTGCCCCATCCCTGAACACTCCGCCGCTCCGGTGTGACCTAAGTTTCCGAGGGAGCACTCGTCGAAATTGAGTTTAATGGTGCCACGGGTGGGGGGTTGCCACGAATGGGTTCTTTGGGCCTTGCGAGGGCGGTGGAGCATAATATTTCCCCGTTGTAGAGAAAAGAATTAGCAGGGAGACCTACAAAGATACGGTGATTAGAAGCCCAAAAAGTTACTAAGGATGTAACTTTATGGAACAAGGCTGGACCTTCGGTAGCTATTCCTTGGAAAATCCTAGAGTTCCTCTCATTCCAGATTGTCCAAATAATAGCTGCTACTGCGGCTTTCCAAATTGTTCTCCTTGCCATAGGCCAGTGAAGGACAGGGTAAAGAGATAACAGTTCCTTGACTGTCGCTGGCATGATCCATTGGACACCACTTAGCTGCAACATTTGCCCCCAAAGGCCGTAGGCCAAGTTGCAGTGGAGAAAGAGATGTGGGTTTGTTTCTTCTTCGCAAAGACAACGAACACATCTGTTGGGGATCGGAATGCCTCTTTTTTGGAGCTGATCCACCATTAGGGCCCTCTGAGTTTCTGCTATCCAATTAAAACACTTCACTTTCTCCATACCTTTCATAACACCGAAGGAGGGTTGAGAGCCAGGAGCTTTCACTTTCTTTTCTGAAAACAAAGCCACGTGAATGCCTTTAGGAGCCCCATGCCCACTTTTATATCCTTCTAATATCTTAAAGGACATTATATGTCCATACAATTAAGTAATTGACCCTCATGTCCTAACTTAAACATAAAACTCGTAATAAGAATTTACCCCTGATAAAACAAAATATTCCATAAACATTCTTAAGTACTTTTCTAAACAAACCTAGAATCCCTAAAAAACTTAAAAATCCTAAAAGTAAACCCAAAATAATATTAAAAATTCTAAAAATACACTATATGCAATAACCCATGAACAATACCCGTGAACAGAACCCTTGAATAGTACTCATGAATAGCGACTAATGAATTTATAAAAATAAATTAAATAAAAAATAAAGATAGAAATAATTTTTCCCTACATTAATCTCTCCTAGATGGAGAAAATTTATCCTAGAAGATGAATTCAACATCAAAATCACCTTCTTTCACATTTTTCTTCTTTGTTGGCTTCACTATTACTTGTGGTAAGAATAAATCCCCAAGAAATGGATCTTGGTATGTAGAGTAAGGAATTGAAACAAACTCATCAAATTTGTTTATTATTGAACTCGAATTGAAAATTGCATAGGAAACTTCAAACTCAATTTTCTCGCCTTTAGAGGGGTTTCTCAACATCTATTTCATTATTCTCTAAAACCAAGGCCACAATCTGTGGTTTATGAGTTGACCACACTTCCTCTCCACTACTTTGATTTCAATGCCCTGAATATTTTGAATGCTCCACCTCTTGGATATACTTGCGATCTTGGCGATGATTGCGATCAGTCCCCTTGCTGCCTTTTCTCCATCTTCTTCTTGAGCAAACTCCTCGTCCAAAACATTTTCATCTTCATCTTGATCCTTATCACAAATCGGATCTCCTAAGAGATCTTGTTTTTTATCTAAGCATGTATAAAATATTGGTGAAAAATCCCAATCTACAACCTGTTGATTTTGAAGACAACTTACATCAAAATCACGAATATCACCTTTATTTCAAAAACCCTAGAGTGGTGCCTCTCACGTCTAGGCCTTCTGTCATTATCATCATTCAAGCTCCACACAAAGCGTGACGACGAAAAGGGTTGTATTCGAGATCTCTTTGGGCTAGAAGATCATAAATTGTTGTGTCAGTTATTAAACTTACCTTTTAAGGTCCTCAATTTCTTCATCTCTAGGATCACAAAGAGGGTATGCAAAAAACCCCTTCATGTCCCCTTCTCGCTGTAATAGGTTCATCGAACTCAAATCCTAGACAGAGAATCAACCAAAGCTTGGTGAAATCAGCAAGATCTATACTGATTTGGTAAAACTTGGCCCAAAATCAACAAACCCTAGTCTTGGCTGTAGTTTTTTGGCTTTATTGTTGACGAAAACCTGAGCTCTAATTCCAAATTGATGTAGATAGAGCAATAAAATCATCCACAAATGAAGCCAAACACTAGGAGAAACCCTATGGATGTTTCCTCACACCCAAGCTAGGGTTCAAAGCTTGGAACTTTCACTCATTCTTTTTCAAAAATAAAGCCACATGAATGCCTCCAGGACCCCCATACACCACTTTATACCCTTTTAATATTCAAAGGACATTATTTGTCCACATAAATAAGTAATTGAACTCCACGTCCTAGCTTAAACATAAAATTCATAATGATTAATTTTATCCCTGATAAATGAAATATCCTATAAAAACTCTTAAGTACTTTTCTAAACAAATCCTAAAAATATAAACAAAAATCTAGAATCCCTAAATAACTTAAAAACCCTAAATAATATTAAAAATTCTAGAAATACCATAAATAGTAATCTCATGAACAAAACTATGAATAGTACTCATCATTAGTAACTTGTGAATAGTATGAAAATAAATTAAATAAAAAATAAAAATAGGAATCGTTTTGTCCTATATCACGATCTAATGCCACTTTGTGAACTTGAATTATACCTACTTAAGAGCTACCCCAACATCTAGTTCGAGCAATTAATGCTGACGGCCATCTACTATGACTAATCTTTCATTGCATAAATACATAAAGCATTCATAAATAATTGATAAAATTCTAGAAACCATTATCTCCCCTCTATATGCTCACCCTCACTGCCCTTTTGATCTTCCAATGTTTGAGTTTCCAACATTCAAATGTGAAACAACATTTCCACATTTACATTTCTTAAATGATATTTTTTGTCTATATCCACAATCAACCCTAAATTGCATTCTCGATCTGATAGAACTCATGACTTCTACATATATTAGAAACAATATAAATCCAATATTTTTTTTTAACCAGCAATATAGTTAGAAAGATGCCAACATAAAATGTAACCCCAAAACTTAATAGGTATTGTTTATAAGGGTGACATTTTTATAAGGTGCCCACCTTATGCGATACAAGTAAGGCGCACCTCTAAATTTTACCAGACAATGTAGTTCCAATGCCTGAAACCTTACGATGACTTGAAAATCCATGCTCAACCCTAATTATAAAATTTAAAATCCCCAAAACAGTGCTGATTGAGCAAATTTATAAACAATTCAAAATCTTGAAAATAGATGGTCCAAATAACTTATTATACGATTAACTATGTTTAGGACTTCAAATACTTTTTTTTCTTTATACCATACATCTCGAGGTCAAGATGATCAATTGGAAGGTTTTCAAACTTTGAAACACTCTTTTCTATGGATTTTTGAGGTGCATGTTACTTATATAATATAAGATTGCAACCTTGAATAAACGTTTTCCTTTTTATAAATAGAAACGGAAGACATTTTAACTTCAAGGTAGCAATAAAAGTGGAGATGAAAAGGAAGAGAAAATGACTAACCCTTTCACGATCCGCTTGAGAAATCCTAAGCCAATCAACTCGATCCATTCCCCCACCGTATTTCCACAAGAAAGACTTGAGAACCTTTAAGTGCCCTGAGCTTGTCAGGTGAGCAATGGCGTTGCTACTGCAATCCAATAAAACTCAATAACATAAGCAACATTCAATGCTCAAAAAGAGATAAGAAATTAACAGTTGTAACAACTGAAATGAAAAAGTAAAAGATCAAAAGAAGTAAGTGGCAGAGAGAGAGAGAGAGGGAGGGGGAGGGAGCTCAAAAGAAGGAATATAGTTAGAAGAAACAGAGTGAGTGAGGAAGCACAGGAGACAGCAGGAACAAAGCCAAAAGAAGGAAAGCAAAGAGTGAGAGAGAGAGAGTATGGTTGGGGTTCATAGTACCAGGCGAAGGTGCTGTTGAGTTCATTGATATCGTGCTCGCAGCAAACACACCAGAATCGATTGCAAGATACATCCTCTGGCTTGAGGACAGAGGGGTTTTTCAGGAAGAAGCGGACATCTTGAATTTTGGATTTAAATTTGGAGAGGAGGAGAGAGAAGGATGACTTGTGAGAGGGGAAGTAGTTGTGGCGCCGGCCTTGGTCATGGTTGAGCCTGCATACGCTGCAAAATTCGAATCGCTGCGTACTACTCTCCTTCCCTTCCTTCTCCTTCATTCTAGTACAAAAATGTTTTCCTTCATTCTAGTACAAAAATGTTCAAAGTTCAGAAACATTGAGGTTTCATAAAATATTGTAGCTTGGTTTATAACAAGAATGAAATTTAGACTGATTTTCAAGAGTTTTTTTGCCCTATCTCTGAATTTTGTTCTGCCCACCTAAAGATCGCCTACTTAATTGAAATATCACAATTAACGCCATTCACTGCATAAGAAATCCAAGAATAACTAGGATTTTGTGGGGAGAGAGAGAGGTCCAATTCGTTCAACTATTCCGTCCGCCATTGCACTCAGATATGAAAGTTGGAGTCATTAGTGAAAAGTTAGATTTTCGAGAGAGAGACCTTTCTGAATGCGAAGGCGACAGACAAGGCCTTTTGCACGAGCCTGGCTTAGCTTAGGCTGATAAGAGGAGCTCAGTTAGCTTTGGTTGATAAGAGGAGCTCAGTTAATTCCGTCTGCCCGAGTAAGATTGGCTCTAGGGGAACTGATCCATATAACCTATGGAGTTGGTTCCTGCATCCTGACGGAGAGTGGACTTAGGGTTCTTTCTCTTTTTGGCCAGATAAAGACTCATAGAGACTACCTTAAAGTAGGGAAACAAGCGTTAATGAAAGGGCTTGTAATTTGAGAGAGAATGTGAGAGGAAATAAGAACTGGATTTTCATGAAGACAAATAAATATATGGACTCCTGCTGTTACTACGTCATGGAGGACTTCGCAATCTAGGGTTTCTTTCAAGATGATTTTTAGAACGTGGTGATTTGGGGATCAAGGCCAGAGGCTCGGGTTCTGGTTTTACTCCTGCGGCTGCTATTTCATGGAGGACCTCACAATCTAGGGTTTCTTTCAAGGTTTTTAGGACGTGGTGATTTGGGGATCAAGGCTAGGGGCTCGAGTTCTGGTTTTTGGGGCTTTGTGATGTTATGTTACGGTGAGTCATTTTAGGGTTTTCTCTTAGATAGAAATAATAACAATTCGTTGCAATAACTTTCACTTCTCTATATGATAAAAGCAGCACCGATTAATTACTACATGCGTCATATCTCTAGAAAAATCAAGTTTAGCAACCTAATTTGAGATAAATAAATTCTTTATTTGCTAAACCCTAAAACCTTTAGTCATAAATCTATATTTGAGATATAGGAGAGAAGAACTCCATAACCTAAGCCTTTTGGTTCTTTCACAATGTGGGATAAAAAAATCAAACATGAGAGAGATAAACTTTCTTAAAAGAGAGAAATAGATAAGGTGTAGAGATTATGCATTCCATAATCTTTCACAAAATATTTCAAAAATATATCAAGTCAATATACACTTTCAATATTTGGTCAATACATGGTCAAAATATTTCATATCTTATTTGACCACACGCCATAACATAATATTACCAAAACATGAAATAACTTAAACTCCAAGAAAGAATCCAATGGGTGGGGCATGCCACCCATGTGTGGCACATGTGGGCCCCACCCTCTTGACACATGGTAGGCCCATGTGCACTATAGGCCCCTCCATGATATTTTATATAATTTTTAAATTATCAAAAAAAAATTCTAAAACATTATTTGAATTTTATAATTTTGTAAAATCAATATCTTCATTTTTATAAGTCCAAAAAAAAATTATAAATAAAATATCAAATGACTCATAACAATTCAAATAATAATTCTAAAATAATTTCCATCATAAAACAAAATTAAATTAACTTGATGGGAAATGGATCCATATGGTTAAGGAATTTAAGCTGCAATCATGAGGCACTCCACCTTCAACTGTGGACTACAGACCACACTGGCCTTATCGAACCGACCCCGTGTTTCCCATGACCCACAATTCAAGCGAAGGCTCATTAGCCGGTCATCAAAGTCTGGCGGATGAGTCAAGGGGTCGCAATCCCAATCTGTGGATTATAGGTCCTCCCTTAGAGACAAGTCAAGGTCACCAAGACCTTATACGACCACAGCTCTATGACGTATATGGGTATCTCTCGCACATGCATACGTTTCACCCTAAAATGTGGATTTCTAGCTTTTCCGAATGATCTATCGATATGCATGCCGTGTGATGGTATATGGATGAGGTTTTGGCCCCTGTCTCTATAGGCCACCATCACACAGTCCCTCGGCTCACTCATCCGAGTATGTTCTCCGACCTCATCAAGGGCTAACTCATAAACCCTCATCGATTTGTTCTTCATGCCCAGATAACATGGATTTTTCCCAACTGACTGGCCTAAATTGTTGAGCACAGATCGGTATCAGCAAACCATCGTTTGCTTAGTATGGTCCACGAGAAACCACACTCCCACTGAGTTCATGTTCCACTATATCATTTCATTTTACAAGCACTCATAAGGCCTTTAAAGGCCACATAAACCCAACATTTTACAGGTGTCGGAATGATTTTTTACAGTGAACTAATCTTCAGAGTGCTTTCAAAAAATGCCGAAGTGCATTTCATAAATACCGGATCCCCCAAAAATGCTCGAAGTTCTTGGTTTGTTCCTTCATTCTTTGTTTGCTATAAATACTGGTTTTATTTCACCAAACAACCTTCTTTTTCTATCTAGAAAACATCTGTGCTGTGTGATATCTCTCTCTCTAGAATACCTCTATTGTGTGAAATCTTTATCTTTCTCTCTCTCTAGAGTACCTCTATTGTGCGAAATCTCTATCTCTCTCTCTCTAGAATACCTCTATATTGTGCAAAATCTCCCTCTATATCTCTCAAACACAGACACTCTCTCTCATCTCCTCTCTCTCTATAATACTTTTATATTGGGTTGGAATTTCCTCTATGTTGTTTATTTTGACTATAGAGAGATTCGATTAGTGTAAGGAAGCCAATGGAGTGAGAAAGAAATTTGTAGAGAGGGAAAACCATGAGGAAGTTAATGGGGAGGGAAATCCGGTGGGAAGAAGAGGTGAGGAAGAAGCCGAGGAAAATAGAGAAAACCGTGAGAAAGAAGCTGTGGTGGTGAAGAAGAAAGCTGTGAGCATGAGGAAGATGCCGTGAGCCCTGAGGAAGAAGCCGTCAGCGTAAAGAAGAAGATAGAGGAATGTGTAAAAACCAAGTTTCGTGAGGAAAACACAGAGTAAATGAGTTAACAGGAGGGTAAGGGGTAAAGGTCAAACGGGGTAAAATTATCTTTAACTCATCTTTTTTTTGACTGGGGGACTTTTAGTAAGAAAAGTTGATTTTTTAAAACGAATAGTAAAGAAATGTTAAGGTGGGGATAGAAGGTCTAAAAAGCTCATTTTGGGGGCATTAGTAATTTTCCCTATTTAATATATAAATTATATTTCAATAGTAATTAATATATAATGGGAAAAGTTTATATAGAGCGTGGGCTCAAACAATCAAATTAGAGCCTACCTCAACTTTCACTAGAAGAGGTTGTTTTGATGCTCGAATATCATCAAATTGATCATCCCAACAACAAGATGCATGGACATGAGAAAAAAAATGGATTTCAAGTTTTGGAAATAGTGCATCTTGTAACATATTTTGGACCGTCAATTTTCACGATTTTCAAGTTTTCATAGATCTGCTCGATTTACACTATTTTGAAGCTTTAAATTTTATAACTAAAGATGAAAATATAATTTAAGGCTATCACAAAACTTTCCAGTATTAAAACCGTATTTCTCGACCTTATTTGAAAGTGGTCTCTAAGTTGATTGTTTAGAGCCTCGACTATATACAAACCGCAGCCATAAATAACATATAAATACATGTTATATATATAAATAATATTTATATTATATATAAGGAAAAATAGCATCTATATCCATTATAGTTACCGTAATTAAGGAAATACCTCAAAGTTTCTCTTATTACTTATACTAGTTGGATTACGTGTGTTGCACAAAAGAATGAAATATGAAAATTCATACAAAAACCACAAAAAAAAAACAAAAGTCCCTAGTGAAATTATAAAAATTAATCATGAATCTTAATAAATTTTAAACATCACATTATAAAATATAGATTCATTAAAAATTCCTAAAAGATACAAAGTTAAATTTCTACTTTGTGTTAAAGACAAAAAAATATTTTCTAACATTCTAAAGTTTATAATAATAGTAAAAATTAGTTATGAATGATTATGGATGCATGATAATTCATAAAATTATATTTAAAATTTTGAAATGATGATATGCAAACTTTAGAAAAAGTTAAAACATTTTTAAAGTAAATTCATTAATTTAAAACGTAAAATTTTTATAAGAATTTTTTATTGTGAAAGATACAATAGAATAGTAGAAGAATAAATAATTGGCTTCTGAATCTTGAGAATGTTCCTATTACACATGTTGATTTGCGTCACTCTATGATGAGCACGGAAACGTGTATCTCTATGTTTATCTTTGTTCAAAGAACTCTCATAAATTGAGTGGTTTCTAGGGCTAAGACCCATTTCTTGTTATTACATAGTATTACTACAAAATTTGAATATGCATTGAACACTAATTTGGTAAATCATACAATAATTCGTATACGAGTGGTTTCTACGGTTATGACCTATTTCATGTTATTACATAATATCACTACAAATGTTAAACACATGCTGAAAATTATTTGGGTAAAGTATGCGACAAATACAATATCTCTCGAGGTCTAGCATACTTTGGCAGGTATTTACATGAATACAGATATAATTCTCAGAATAATAATTTTCTACATTAAGACGAAAACTTTTAACATTTTTTCAAACAGAGACAAAATATTATCCTAGATAAATATTGCACTACATAATAGTGAACGTATCTTATTTGATTTCATGGAAGTACAACTTGCATGATAATTAAAAATAATAATAATATGCATGCACCATATAAAAATGAACATATGTTATTTGATTTCATAAAGGTCCAGAATGCATGATGAAAAAGAAAAACATAGTATACATGCATGAGGAAAATTCCATTGATTTAGTAGTAGTTTTTATGGGTGCATGCATAAACCATCATAAATAAATAATTGGTCAATAGTTTTATCAACAAATTTATTGAATATTATGGCAAACAATAATAAAATAAAAATAAAAATTTTATTTTATTAATTTATTACTAGTACTCATAGGTAGTAAATCACCGTTTAATCGGCGATTTTTTCAAAAAATCGGCATTTTTATGGAAACAGTTTTAAACGGCGACCTTTTGAAAAGGTTGTGAAAAAATAGCTTACTTTCATAACGCAATTTTTTCATAATTCGATTTAAATCAGGCCAAAAAATCGTATCCTTTTATACCTAGAATATTTTTTCCCCTGTTTTGTGTACTGCAGACATTGCTATTTTCAAGCTTTTGAAAAAAAATATTATTTAAAAAAAAACCTAAAATATAAATTTTTATCCCCACTGTGTTCTTCAAAGCCATAGTTGTAGATTGAAAGCATGAATTTTTTTCCCTTTTCTTTTTTCAAAATTTAAACAAAGTCGTTATTATGAAAAATCATTGTGTAAATGAAATAATACTGTTTATAGCAAATCATTTCGTAAAGCAAATTATTGTGTAAAGAAAATCATATACATGCAGATTTCTGTTATTATATGTGATAATTGTTTTTATGAAAATAATGTTTGTGGCACAAATTAGAGCTCAAAACATAGTCTTTTATGAATGAGAAGCAGAGAGTCTAAGTATAGGTTTTGATTATGTGATAACAAAGATAAACAATATAGTGTAAACTGTAAACTTACAGGAGCAAGCAATCCCCCAAACTTGTTGTTTCCCTGACAAAATGAAAAACCCTCTTCCTTTTCTCTCTCTAAAAATAAGTTAGGGCCTCTTCACAAATCAAAAAATCAGTTAGGGCAATCCGTTAGGGCCTCTTCACAAATCAGTATAATTAAGGCTTTCTCTCAGACAACAACTCAGTATAATTAGGGCTTTCTCTCCAACAACAACTTAAATCAGAGAGAAAAATCATCTTCAAACTATTACAAATCAGCATCCCATCTTCCTTTCCTTTTCTCTCTCTAAAAATCAGTTAGGGCCTCTTCCATTAGGGTTTGTGAAACTGATGAACTCTTCCGTATTCCTTCTTCTCTCTCTAAAAACTAAAAACTTTTCCTACTTCCTTCTTCTCTCTCTATAAACCCTAATGGCTATGAGCCTCTTCCTTCGTCATTCTCTCTCTAAACCGTAAACACAGATGTGAAAACCAAATTTCCAGGAGCCTATTTTCAATTAAAGAAATTTATAAAACTTCAACCATAGTTATGTAGTGACCATAGTCACCATACTGTAGTTAAATCATTGTAATGAGAAAACAAAAACCATGAACTTTTTTTTAGTAACAGCTAAGTAGGTGTGATGTTTTAAATATTTAATGAATTTATGTAGTATATTTGTCACCATACTATAGTTAAAGTATTTAATGAATAAATTTATATAATATATTTGTTTTTGGTATATAATAAGTAGGTGGGATGTTTCTTAAAATATTTAATAGGTAGATTTATATGGTATATTTTTTTGGTATATACTAGTTAATTATATATTTAATATTAGATAATTAGATGAGAGTCACGATGCATCTAAATTAATTGACTCAATTATATTAGTCTAGTAAAGTTTTTATGGATGAATTAGTTATTGATAGCTTTGACATAATTTTTATCTTTTAGAATCTTAAAATTTCTAATATTATAATTTGTCCGATTTTTTTAGCCTAATCTGATATATTAGCGATATTTTTATATGAAATATTTTGTCCGATCCGTATTACCTTTTTTTATCCGACTTTTAAAAATAAAAATGATTTATTTTTATTTTATGGTGAGCCAATTTATTAATAGTCTCCGACTTGCTAACCAAGCTACTATTCCTGCACCATACCTTTAGAGAGCAAATAATTTATTGTTTTTGGTTTCTGCGATTGAGAAACTATGGAGTGAGGGTGAGGAGAGAAAATGTGGGGCTTTTTTATTTCTTGTTGAGAAGCTATTAAAAACAATGCGACAATATAATTACTCATGACACTTTTTAGTAGAATTATGAATTATTTTTGATAAAATATAAAGAAAAAAAGATAATCATTTTGTTCTACAAAATACTCAAACCGATATTTTATCTTCAACCCTACCTATGAGAAACAAATCTTCATCATCGAGAAACTTTATCTATGATATTTTATTTTGTCAGTTGCCGAAAAGCCTTATTCTCTCTCTACTCGTACTCTTTATCTCTCTACTCTCCTCATGACCGCTGCCCCTCTCGCATCTCCCACTGACCAAGTCTAACTACCAACTCCAAGATCATAATACTATCATTGATTCATTATCGACATCTGTCTACAATGATATAAACCACCATAAAAGTAATTAAACCCACCGATGATATATAATTATAAAACTATAATAATACTACATAATAATAATAATATAAAAAATAAAGCATAATATAAAATAATATTGTAATATATTAGTATTAAAATATATTAAAATAATATATAACCATAATAATATATATCAATATTATATATATATAATATTATATTATAATATTAATAACAATAACCATATAATATAATGTAATTAGCATTATAGTAATATTAATTCTATACTATATTATTATTAGTGTGAGTATTATAATATAATATTACTACAAATTATATTGTTTTTAATAATATTATATATATTATTCTTTATTCATTAAACACAATAAGTATTATATAACAATAAAACAAAAGGACATATATATTATAATAATATATATAATATTATTATGTAGTATATTATTATTATTATTATGAGTATTATAATATCATATTATTATAGTAATATTAATTATGTAGTATATTATTAGTATTATTGTAAGTATTATAATATAATATTATTACAAATTATATTATAATTGTTTTTAGTAATATTATAAATATTTATCATATATTATTCTTTATTCATTAAACAAAATAAGTATTATATAAAATAAAACAAAAGGACATAATATTATTATTATAATATTGTAATAATATGTATATTATTATTATAAATTATATTATAATTTTTGTGATAATCTTATGAATATTATAACTTTATTATTTTATATTTTTTAAGTATAAATAAGTATTATATATAAAATAATTTTAGAGGGGCATATATAATCATTGTTTATTCCTCTCATAATCAATCACCCAATATTTTGATTTCCCATATCATTGAATCACGTAATTATGAAAATCTTCAAGACCTTACAAAAACATAACTTATTAACTACCATCGATATCCATTAAATTTTTTTTTTTTAATTGTGCATTAAGTATCATTGTCTTTTAATTCTGCCCCACCATCTCTAAAGAATCCATGATACCCTTACAAACAAAAAAAATATATTATGATAATAATTCTATAATCATACTTATAATTACTAATTATTATTAATATTGCTTGAACCTCAAAATTGAAAACTAAAAAAGAAAACTAATAAATATTAACATAAAGTATGCGCATGGAGTTGGAATGAACCAATGAAAAAGTTAAAAAGAAAAAGAGAGATGAAAAAGAAAGGTTGAGAGAAATAGTCATGGAGAGAGAGAGGAGGTCGTGAAGTAGAAAGAGAGGTCGTGGAGAAGAGATAGAAAGAGAGATGATGTCATGGGGTTGGGGAAGAGAGAAAAAGAGGAAGAGAGAGGAATTTGGGGAGAGAGAGAAGAGAGAAAAATCAGATTTATTTCTAAAATTTTTCAATCTCTATCAACTATCAAATCCCCTTAATTATCAACTGTCAAATCCCCTTAATTTTCTCTAGGATAATGTTAAAAAATTTTTGTGAGTCTCTCCTACTATTCCATTCATGAGTCTCCCTCTCATTTTCTTGAAATATCTCAATTCTCTACCACATTGCGTGATTTGCTTAGCTTAAAAAATGGCAAGACAATCCAAATCCATAAAGGAATTTCTTTCTCTAAAAGATGTGTACGAAATCTCTCTCTTTCTCTCTCCTCCTAAAGATGAAGAATGTAACTTATACAATAGGGTCACCTATTCTATAATTTCTGATGAAGAATGTAACTTATACAATAGGGTCACCTATTCTATAATTTCTATAGCATTAGGGTCCTTTCTATTCTTTGCCACATATATCCACCCATTAACTCTTGTGACATATGTTTACCCCTTAACTCTTGATTAATAATGTAGTATAGATATCTGTTTTTTCAACTTCCTAACAATTTTTTAAAAAATGACTTCTATTTTTTGTTTTTCAAAAACCAAAATCTTTAAAATTTTTGGTTTTTCAAAGACCAAAAATTAAGAATTTTCGATTTTTGAAATACTAAATATTTATGGTATACGTGCAACTTCTTATTTAGTAAGTTGTAGGTTGGTATGTTGGTAGTGCTTCTTACATGAGTACCTCTTTACAAGAAGTCTTGGCTTCCATTTTGATGGCGGCTATTTTAAAAAAAAAAAACTCCTATTTCTATTTTGATGGGGGCTATATAAAAAAGAACTTTTTTATTGGACGGGAATGAATGAAGAACTACTATTCCATTTGATGGGGGCTATTTAAAAAAAAAAAACTCCTATTTTTATTTTGAGGGGGGCTATTTAAAAAAGAACTTTTTTTATTGCATGGGAATGTTTGATGGGGGCTATTTTTTTAAAAAAAAAACTCCTATTTCTATTTTGATGGGGGCTATTTAAAAAAAAACTTTTTTGATTGGATGGGAATGAATGAAGGATCTGGCGCTTTGGTTTTTCCCAGAACTTGTACTACTTAATGGCACAGATAAGACTAACCCTTGGACAACATTCTAGCATATCTTGCCAAAAAGACATTCTAGCATATCTGATTTAGAGCAAAAAAATAAATTGAACCCTCTTTACAAGAGTTCTTGGCTTCCATTTTGATGGGGGCTATTTAAAAAAAAAAAACTCCAAAAAATATGATGTTTTAAAAAATGGTGTAAATCGAACCCTGACAAGGCCAAACTTTATGCAGCCATACTTGCCAAAAAGATATTCTAGCATATCTAATTGCCAAAAAGACATTCTAGCATATCTAATTTAGAGCCAAAAAATAAATCGAACCTTGATAAGTCCAAACTTTATGTAGTCATGCTAACCAAAACGACATTCTAGCATATTTGATTTAGATTTAAAGTATTAGAATAATTAAAGTAAACACCGTCATCTTTTTTCGAGCTTAATAGGCAATTTTTGTTTGGTTTTAAAAAAAATTTGTTAGGAAGTTGAAGAAACAGATATATGAGTAATAATAAAAATTTTGAGGTACTTTCGTAAGGGAAAGTTTATAATGAGACTATTTACCTTCGGTACAAGATGGTCACAATTTATTTTGATCATTAGATGTGAAATTGGGTGGCTGCATTTATTTCATTGACCAAGCTTAAAGTCCAAAATAAATTTTCTCGAACTTTGTGTCGCTTTCATATCGGATAGTTATAAATAATTGTGACCTCATTGTACCAAAGGTAACT